TAGCAGAATCTTTCCATACTTCATCTACAATAGGAGCATACTCACGTGTAGCAGCAGGGAAGAATGCATCCAAGTCTCCCGTTGCCATGATATCCAGTAACCAGTCAGAAAAGTGCTTGAACCTTTGGTTGATTGCATAGATGCATTGCTCACTTTCATCAACTACTGTTTCACACAAAGTCATTTCACAGTCAAACCACTGCTTAAGGTTCATTCATGCCTACAAGCAGAAAACCAAATAAGCAAAATGTTCTATATCTCTAATAACATGTTGAATTCCTCTTCAATCAGTAGGAAATTCATATTAATGACAATGGGACGTTATGAGTTTATTTGATTTTTACAATTAGGTTAGATATAACATGAAATTTCATCAACACCGACCCCAGTTGCTTGTGTCGAGATTGACAAAAGTGTTGGAACAGACAGAAAAACAGCTACCTACCTACCAAGTCCACTTTGATACAACCAACTAAAAGACTCTTAGATATATGCTGTTTCAAAGATGGAGATAACAAACAGCTACTTGCCTAAGCGTCAGGTTAGTCGAAGGAACAATTTTCATCAGAAAAAGGAGAAAATGAAAATCATTTCATTATCTGACCCCAAAAAAGAAAAGTCATTTTCATTAACTTATTACATAAATAGAGACCTGAAGGAGATTCTTCAGCAGCTGACAAAATAGCCCTATTCTCTGTCAATGCTTCCTCTTCAAAACGTTCTCGGCCCTCGAGTAATATACTTAGATACTTGTACATATTGCTCTGAATCATGAGCTTGATGTTCTGCAGCTCTTCAGGAGTGAACTTGTTTCCATATAAGAACTTAGCCTGTTCCACAGAAAAAAGAAGAACATAAGCATTTTTAAACTGTAATTCTATTCAAAAAGCATGACATAGTAGCCCATACAAAGAAATAAAGCTTCTGATTCAAAAATAAATTAATTAATTAAGCCCTGGGGGTTTTCACTAACTGACTCCAACGTATCATGCAATTTGATTATCCGCAAAAGGAAAGTTAGTAGATTAAATAGACTTGAATCCTCTTGCTTTGTAATATCCTTATTTTGAATCTGAACTCTTCACACAAAATCTAATCGCTCATACTATGTTAAATGCATAAATTAACCTTCCTAAGGTTAACGCCATCTCTTCTATACTCTCTTTCTTCTTTTTCTTTTCCCTATCCTCCCATTCCGGAATTCTGCATCTGGTTCTCCGCTTCTTTTTTCATTAATTCCTTAACTCTCATTCAGTAAAATCAAGCTCGTGGCTCTGGAAAACATACATTGAGTTTTCATCATTAGTAAAAGCTTCTATTTTATCACTTTCAACAGTGGAGGACCGAAATAACTTATCTACAATGAATCAGCAACCGAGCTGATTGAATTTCCTCTGCTTCTAGTATTAATCTAGATCCACAAAAATATGCAGCATACTCTTAGCTACTTTTGAGGTTTTACCATACATTCTAAGTTCCAAGTTGAGGCTTTTCAGTAAAAACAGCCACCGGTTTCAACAAATGACTGCAAACCACATAATGACATAAAGGAAGATAAGGTAGGTCCACTATCACAATAAAGGCAACACCTTTTTAATTGTCAATTTACGAATTGTCATGAATCACGAAGACAAGGTAAATGGAACTATTAACTTCCCTTTTGTATTAAGTGAAACAACTTAAATTCTGAATATTTGATTGTTGAACACTAAACCAACATGCGTTTGCTCTAGGAACAAAACACATGATAGGGTAAATCTATATAAAAGTCTCGGTTGACTGGAGCAGAAATTAGAAAACACGTGAAAAAAAAGGACAAAGCCATGCTGGCACCCTAAAAGAGGAGGGGCTGGAAGGAAATCAAAAAGACGCATACCTGCTTGAAGATGGTGCTAGTTCCAGATCCCTCCAAGCCAAATAACAGAAGTTTCTGAACTCTTCCCTGTTCCAAATATTCAGGGACTGACCGACTTGAAGGTGTTGTAGGATCTTCGTTTGCCCCATGTTGATTACCAGGTGGTACAGGCAATGAGAATAATGAACAAATGAAACGAGTGGATGCCTGCCTACCAAAAACCAAATTGCAACTGTATAAAATTTCGACTCAAAATCATCTGCCAAAGTTTCAAACTCACACCAATCAACAAATATCCAATATTCATGGTAACGAAAGAACCTTTCCCCATATATTCCCTTTAATGTTATTTTGACCTTCCTCCTCATAAGATCCATCATCATACACCCAGAAATGAGTATCTGGAGGGCACTGCACTTTGGCCAGCTGAAATATAAAAGGCAAGTAATAAGGTTCGTCTTATCACAATTAAATAAATCACATAGCAAACATAAAATTTCATGCAGGTCCATGTTATTGTTACCTTCAGTTAGAAAACTGCCACTAATCACACTATTACCTAATAAACTTACTTATGATGGGAGATTCTGTAGTAATTAGTAAGGCATTCGTGTTCAATACAAACACTTCTTTAACCTTTTGATTGACAGGTTCACTTTTTCACAGTATGGTTTAGGGTTTAGATTTCCAAATTGGCATTGGGTTTGTTCGTATTGAATATGAACCCTACTGCAGACCGGACTCATTCATTAGGGACTTTTGGGGATTCATTGAGAGCATACCCTCAACACCCTACGCTCAGTCTTGGTGATCTCTCGGCCATTCATGAACACTTTGGTGTTCCCATTGCTTGCATCAGACCGGAGCTTACCTCCAACATTCAGTTTTGAACTAATGATCCTGTCGGGCTTCTCTCCCTCCTGAAATCAAATAAAATTAACTATAAACATATAAAACATGCAACACGATGCTGTGAAATGCTCATCCAATATATATATATATATATATAAAACTCACCTTCCCCCAAAGGCCAGAATCTTTATCGTACCAATACATCCCAGGCTTCAACTTCTGAGGAGGCAATTCACAGCCCAAAATCTCAGCCAGTTCTTCTTCCCTCAACAGCCTCCCATTCACAACTAACTGCTCGGGTCGAAGCTGATTGGCAGGGCACTCCTTCTCGGCCTTCATTATCTGCCGAATCTCCAAAGGGCTGCAAACCCTTGACAAGATCCTTGAACACTTGCCCAAACTCGACCTCTTGGACTCGTCTATTGGCTGCCCAATGCAGCTCACACATTTACGCCCCTCTGGCATCGACCCCATGGCTTTAAGCAAGCAATTGCTACAGAACTTGGCGTCGCACACCAAACACCACTCTCTCTCCTTCAATCTGTTCCCTTTTCCGCACCTGCTGCAAATCCCTCTCTTATTCGTCCGCCTCCCAGGCGAAGAAGCCCATGCAATCGGCGATCCCACTGGTTCGGTGGCGCTCGATTGCGGCGACGAAGACCTATCAGCCTCGTTATCGTTTTCGTGGTCGTCTTCGTTCTCTGAATCTCTTGGCGTGTTGAAAGTCACGACGGCCGCTCTCTTTCCTCCGGTGGTTCCGATCGGTTTCTGCTGGGGATTCGAGTCTTGAACTGGTAATTCAGAGCTAAAACCTTGGTCTGCTCCTTCGAATTCCGATCCTTCCCTGTTGTTTTGCAAATCGAGTTGCGACTTCGGAGCCGAAGAAGAGGTCGTGCTACTGCTGCGCGGCTCTTTTACACCAGCACCGTTCCTGACCCGATTGAAGCGCGAGAGCTTCTGAGCGACCGGCACAGCAACCGGAATGGAAGAGAGGTCTGAAACCGAAAGGGAAGTTACAGAAGAAGTTTGAAGGGAGTCGATTTGAACTGGATCAACCCTGGGGAGGTCGTCGTAGGGCAAGGGAGGGCCTTGGTATTCGACTGCGATTGAGTAGTCGAGGTGCTCTTCGTCGGGCAATGGTGCACCAGCAGGCAGCATCTTTCTCAGGAGGTCCTTCCAGCTTTTCTCGTCCTCTGCTTCCGAAGCCATAGCGGGAGAGGGCTGTTTGGTTCCCGAGAAAAAGCTCGGGAAAGCGAGAGAGAGAGAGAGAGAGAGAGAGAGAGAGAGAGAGAGAGAAAATCAAATGAATGAAAGGTGGGTGGGTGGGTGGGTGTGTAAGGAAGAGCTGCGTGGGGGCGAGAGTTGACACGAAGAGAAGAGCAGAGAGCAGTTGGGGGAAGTTGGCAGAGAGAAAAGAGAGTGTGGAGGGATTTCGTTTCCGTTAAAGAGTTGATGTCAACGATGATGCTGACAATTTTTAAGATTTGAAATTGATTTCGTTTCCTATAAATATTCGAAGAAGAAGAAGACGAAAGGAAATGGAGGAGGAGGAGGAGGAGGAAAGTTTGATCTTTCCTTTGACAGTTGACACACTACTTACTTGTAACTTGTTACTTGACGACACAGTCGTCTTCACACACAAGCACAACATATCCAAAACAAGAAGTAGTTTTGCTGCTGCTCTGCTCTCTCTCTCTCTCTCTCTCGCTTTTTTTTTTTTATAATGTTTTTTTCTTCTAAATTTCTTTGTTCCTACCTACTAATCGAATCCTTAACCCCCACTTTACTGCTGTACTGCATTAGAGCTTTTCTATTAATTTTTTTATCAGCCATTCCTTAACACAACTATACTGGGTTTCGAAGATCTTAACATCCTTTAGCACAACTTAGTTAATGCATTATTTTGGAGAAATGTTCAGTATGCCTTGTGTATTCATCTTGTTCAACACGTGTCGTAACATGTTTTATGTGTTTATCTACTGTGTCATAACGAATTTTTCAACACGTGTCGTAACATGTTTTAAGTGTTTTAATTTCGTAATCTACTTTTGTAGAGAGAGAGACACACACATAACTATTGTACCATCGGTCTCGTTGAAATTGAAATTTTGCTACAATTTTTATTAATACAATTCCTTTAATTCAAAAGATAAATTTTTTTGGGAGAATGATTGTCAGCAACATTTTAACTGCTACAAATTTTCTCTTATTTTGCATTGTTTCCATCCTGTTGATGAAATTTTATTCACAAAACCTAACCCAACTGTTGACAACATACATCAACATAATTCAATGGCATCAGAATAGTTTTGTTAATCAATCCAAAAACACAGCCTTGTTATCCCTCAGTGGGGGCTGAAACATAAACATTTATGCTGCCACTCATAACTTTTAAGCGCATGTAGTCTCGTATTCAAATTGGACAACAATTTGTGGCTAATCACATAAATTATCAGCAACAATGGAATTGGTTGCTGGAAATTTTCCTAAAAGTACAATTTCAATAAAATGAGATGCTATAAAATAACTTCCGCCGCTGCTGTTTCTCAAAACCAGTCACGATATCATCTATTGAATCCTCCCATGATTCAGCTGCTTCAATCTAGGCAAAACAACAGCCATAACATACCACCTATCAGTATTTTGCATTACAAATTATTGACTATCAGTGCAACCATAAATACAGACCTCTTGACAAAGATCTAAAGCAAGACGAGCTCCCACAGCTGCCTCCTCGTGGTTATCTTTTACCTCCAGGTTGATTATCAGTGCACACTTCTTAAGAACATGGTCCCGGTTGTTAAGATCTATACATTCTTGCACAGGGGTCAGACAAGCAAATAAGGATGGCTTCCCCAACTTACAGATTAACCACAAAGTTGTTCATAAAATTAAAACCAAACAAACAAAAGCAAATGGTGCCACAATCTTTGAAGCTTCTTTTCCAGTGTGAACCAAAGGTTCAAACTGAAACATAAGTGCATATGGTTCATGTTCTAAATAGATAACAAAACTACAGGCAGAAGTATAAAAGTAAAAATTCCTTAATTCACCTAAAGATAACTCTAAACACTAAAATTTTGATCAATTTTAACAAATTAACCATTAGATTATGTACCAAAAGTAGAACACTTAAAAGGGGAAGATTTGATTTTGTGAGATACTTCAAGTGGCAGACTATGAAATCAAACCCATAGAGAAATCTGATGAAAACTCTCTCTTATTAACAAATTGCAACATTTTAAAACCATAAGAAGAGGCCCTCACTCAGATGGGCAACGGCCTTCTCCGGGAAAAATATCTCCAAGTTTAAAGCACGCAGTCTCAAGCTTAAGCTGACAGGAATCATATGTCTATAACTTAAGAGCTCAAGTTAACTTGCCAATTGTATCAGTTCATCATCATTGCTAGAATAAAAATTCTAAGACTGATATTCTCAAGAGAACCAAGAAACACTACCTCCAATTCATATTCCAACAGCTCAATAGACAGAGATTGCCAAGAAACAAAAAAACAGCAAAGGAAAGAACAGCATTCAATTATTTCATTTTCAGAGTGCTGTACTATTGAAATCCATAATATGCAAGCCATAAATAGCAGAAGGGAGTATTACCAACCTTCAAGAACCATGTCAAAAACCTTTTCTTCGAATGTAAATACCACATCGAAGGAACCGTCAGCAGCATTATCTTGCCACCGCTGAGGTGCCAGTTTGACCGTTGAGTTTCTTTTAAGCATAGGCAAAATTCCATTACGCTTGTACCTGTACTCTTGCTGTCAAGGTTTCACTTTGCTTTTGAATGAAAAAAACACAGCTCACAATCCAGAGTACGCACATACATTTCAATTCATACATCCTAAAAAACTGAACTATTGTTACTGAGAGCAACCAATCGAATTATACATAAGATTCAATAGGATAATTTCATTGCCCATAAATTATCAGACTGCCCATTTAATTGCCAAATCTTGAAGCTTTAAGCCTACAATCTTAGTTACATACTAATCCAGCTCGAATATAAGAAAACCAAACCTTATGAATTCAAGGTGCAAAGATGATCTTTTTATTTTTAATGTTTTCTTGGTAATTTAAGGAATTTATTTATTACTCAAATATCAATGACCCATAACCCCTTACAGGCAGAACTGAAAGCAAGATAAGAAACTAAAAAATCCAAAATTACAAGAAGAACTAAAAGAAAAAGGGGGAATCAGAACCGCTAAGATTATGACCATTGACACGACCCACAGGCTCTAAAACCCAAAGCATCGAAAAACCTAATTGAATGAAATTGAAGGAAGAAAAAGTTTAGAGGAGGATACAGTTCGGGGTCTTTTCGCCTAAGATCGTCAAACATCTGCTTATAAGGAGTTCCAAAGTCGTAAACGTTGGGTTCTCTGAGGGAAGGACCAGGGAGCTTAACGTGGGCACCAGTACCGTAAGACGAGACGTCGAAGCCTTGCCTCTTGAGGAGCGAGTGAGCCTCCATGCTTCGGTTCTGGTTCGACGAACACACCATGGCGTACCGGAACTTCATGGCAGACACTGAACACACCACTGTGAACTGTCTCTCTATCTGATTCACAATACGACGACGTCGGGGGCTGGGGCTGCGTGGGTTTTTTTTTACTTCTTCAGTATTGTCAATTTCTTCTCTCTTCAAGTAAATAGTATTGTTAAACGTATAGCCACGCCGGTATACTCCATAAAATAGTATATTTAATCGTATAGCCGGGCGGCTATACTCGATACATAGAATACCCTAACTGTATAGCCGGGCGGCTATACTCCGACATAGAATGTTGTAACAGTACGCCGCGCGGCTATACCCCATAAATAGTATATTTAATCGTATAGCAGGGCGGCTATACTCAAAAAAAGAATATTTTAACAGTATAGCCGTACGGCTATACCCCCATTAAATGGTATAGCCGACCGGCTATACCCCATACATAGAATAATTTAAAAGTAAAGTCGTTCGGCTGTCCTCCATACATCGAATATTTTAAAGGTATTCCCGGGCGGCTATACTCCATATATAGAATATTAAGACAGTATAGCCGCACGGCTATCCGCCATAAATAGTATATTTAATTAATCGTATAGACGCGTGGCTATACGCCTTAAATAGAATATTTTAACAATATAGCCGCGCGGCAATACTCCATACATAGAATAATTTAAAAGTAAAGGCGCGCGGCTATACTCCATACATTGAATACTCTAACGGTATAGCCGAGCGGCTATACTACATAAATAGTATTTTTGATGGTAACGCCGGCGGCTATACCGCGACATAGAATGTTGTAACCGTACAGCCGCGCGGCTATACCCCATACATAGAATAATTTAACAGTAAATGCGCGCGGCGATACTCCATACATCGAATATTAAGACAGTATAGCCGCATGGCGATACGCCATAAATAGCATATTTAATCGTATAGCCGCCCGGCTATACTGTTTAAATAGAATATTTTAACAGTATAGCTGCGCGGCTATACGCCATAAAATAGCAGAATCTTGATTTCGCATTTTTAATTAGTTTAATTAGCAGTTAAGTTTTAATTATTATTTACTTACTGAATCATTAGTATTTAAATATTTTATCAAAGAAAAAAATTAAAAAATTAAAAAACTATTTATTAAGTTAATTAAAATATAATTACTAATAAAAGTAATTAAATAAAGCTAATATTTTATTTAATTACTAAATTGATATTTATTTTCAAAAAAATCTCTCCCTACAAACCATTGTCAGTACAGGTCTAGCCCGGTGGAACTTTGCTGGCATAGATCTGTGCCGACAACATTTCGTCGGGAGAGGTTGTTTTCCTTTTTTTTAGAAAAAAAATATATAATTAGTTTCTTTTCTTTTTTTTTTGGTAAACTTCTTTAGTTTAATATATGTAATTAAGTAATATCTTAGTTTTTTTTAATTATTTTAATTAGTAATTATGTTTTAATTATTATAAGTATTGTCATCCTTTTAAGTATAGTTGAGTTTTTTCTGACATAAAATTTGTTTGGAATGGGTTCCACCACACCACTTGCTGAGCTAGAAAATAACTGAATATTATGTATATTATGTATAATGTCATATTTTTTTATTGTTTTGCAGCCTCAATTTTTTTTTTCATATACGTATAATGTCACAACCAAGTAAGTATGAATGTAATGACATAGAAGAAGAAGAAATTGATGACGAAGAAATAGAGGAAGATGAAATAAATAGAGAAGAATTGGATGACAAATTTTATGAAGCCATTGGATATGACTATATACATCAAGCATTGAATGATGATCCTGCAATCTTTCGGCAAGTATATAGAATGTATCCAGATGTATTCCGGAAGTTATGCACTATTCTTAGAGAAAAAACACTTTTGGAGGATACAAGATTTATTTGCGTTGAAGAAATGCTTGCAGTGTTCCTACAAATCGTCAACCAAAATACTAGATATTGTGTAATTCGTAATACATTTGGCCAATCACAATTCACTGCAAGTGAAAATTTTCACAAGATTTTGAAGGCCTTGAATTCAATAGCATATGATTTGATGGCTAAACCACGATCGGCTGTGCCTGCTAAAATAAGGGAAAGCACAAGATTTTACCCTTATTTTCAAGGTATGTGATGATAATCTAATTATATTAATATTGTAATTATAATTGTCATTATTATAATATGTATTTTTCATAATATGGTTATATTTGCATATGAATAATTTTAGGATTGCATCAGAGCTATTGATGTAACACAGGGGACGAGATGTCAGCAGTTATTGTAATCGTCATGGAAAGATATCACAAAATATATTAGCAGCTTGTAATTTTGATTTGGAATTCATTTACGTTCTTAGCGAGTGGGAGGGTTCAGCTTATGATTCAAAGCTACTAAGTGATGTTTTATCAAGGAGAAATGGACTTAAAGTGCCCCAAGGTAAAATCCTATAAGTTATTACATTATGATTAAATCCACTGAATTCTTTTATTCTTAAATAATTTTTTAAAATCTCATTTAAATACACCCTCTAAACCTCCCTTGTACTTTAAGAAAAAGTCACTATCATCCAAATGCAATTTTCCCTATCTAAAATATATATACCAAAAAATAAAGCTCCACTGTAAGTGGGACGCGTGGCCCGTTAGGCTATCACTCGAAAGTTTGTAACGTATAACCAAAATAAGAAATTTCAGAAAAGCAAATTGGGCTAAATTAGAAATCTATGGCTGTAAACAAGTCCAGTCGATGCAATTCAATGGAGGCCGAAGCCCCAACAAAACAAAGGCAGAGATGATTTTTTGTTTTGTTTTGTTTTTTTGGTCTGAACCATGAGGTGGTCCTGGATGAGCCCCAACTATGGGTGGCACCTTTAAGCCTTAACCACAACCCAGACTAATCCCCACTCACACCGGGTCGGCCCGTAAGGGGTAAAGTGTTGGCCAAAGTGGTGACTCCGTACGAGAGCAGGGATCGAACCCCTGACCTCTCTTAAGGAATGAGAGTGCCGAACCACTCACACCAACCACCTTGGTTGATGATTTTTTGTTTTTGAGTTACAAAGAAAATGTGATTCTCAATTTTTCACAAGAGGACACAATCCAACATAATCACTTGGAACTCCCAATGCTCTATCCTTATTTGGGTTTCTGGATATATCGCGAAGATTGGCCTTGGAGTACTTCAATGAACTCATCTCGAACGAAATAAAATTAATGTGGCATGTTGTCTATTCAGTTGCCTCTTTTAAAAACTGCTCATTTCAATAGGCTAGGCGAATGAATTAGACAATACAATATTATTTATTTTCATATTTTACATTTACCTCATTTCACCCACCACAAAACAACAACAAAATTGTATTTTATAATAATAAAATATGTGGGACCTAATATATCCATTTATTTTGAAGTAGTCAATATTGTCTTGTTGGGGAGAGTAAGTATATTTTGCCTACTCACTTGCCTCTTCCTTTGAAGCATGAAAATGGTATGTGGCAAGGCAAATGAAGTTTGCTTACTCTTTTATCTCTTTCATTGGAAATGCTTTTAGACTTAGGGCTTGTTTGGAAGTGATTCTGAAGAGGCAAATAATCACTTTTATAGAGAATCACTTCTCCAAATAATCACTTTAAGTGATTTTATGGAGAAGTACATGAGAGGTGCTTCTCCCCATAATCACTTAAAATCACTTATGAAGAAGCACGTGAGAGGTGATTCTTCCCAAAAGTGATTCAGACCTATTCAGAATCACTCATAAACGAGCCCTAGTGTTATTCGACAAGGTTTGGTGAAGCCATGAAACTATAAAGTCCTAGGAAAGCCATGTTTTTATATTTTTGCTCTCAAAATATAAACTTATTAGGAGCTTCTCTACTAGAATAAAAACCTAAATCCCACCAAATAGTCATAAACTTAGAATCTTCTCCTGCTATTAAAAAAAAACAAAAAAAAACAAAAAAAAAAACATAGGATATTCTCTACCAAAAAAATATATATGTCTAGTTGGAAATGTTGTTTGGGCTTTGGCCCCTATTTTACCCACACAAAAGAAATAATAATGCACATTATTTTTTTTTTTCCCCATTATTTTGTCTCTATTTCCAGATGGAGGATAAAGGAGGATCACAAAATATAAAAATTGGCAATTTTGCACTACGCCCACAGAAACCTTTGAATTGTATACGCCGACGTCTCCCTACACGTAACACGCAGATACACACGCAGACGCTCTCTCTCTGTCTATAAATTTTGCTCACTGGTATGAATTCCACAAGTCCTGTTGAATTCCCATTTTGCTAACTAGTTTCTCATTGTTAAGCGAAAAAGAATCAGATTTTCATCTTCCTGTCAGTTTTAATCATAAATTATAGGGTTGGGTTAGCAGAACTGAAGATGGAAGCAGCAGCCACAGCGAGCCTTGTCCAATCATCAATCGCGGCCATTAGGCCTTCCAATTCAATTGGCAGATCGGGTAATTTGGCGGCCAATGGTCCCGCCGGATTTCTGCGTTTGAGTCCTGGATTTCACTTCTCAATCAAGGTACTTTTTTTTGGGTTGGGGATTTGGTTTCCTATTGCGGTTTCTAATATGCTTGGTAGGTTTGGGGTTTTGGGTCTATACAATACGCATGATCCCGAGTGTGTCGCGAGAAATAAGTTGATCTGGTAATTGATGAGAATTCTAGGGTTTCTGTTAAATAGTGAAAGATTAAATCTTGATTAGGAGTGTAGGACTTTTAGTTGGTGCGCTTAGATTGTGTTGTTGAAAAGAGCACATATCTTTTTTAGATTGATACACAAAGAATGGGTTTTGGAGGTAGGAGATGACCCCTTTCGGGAACACTTGAGGGTTTTGGATTGATTTTTCTTTCAACTCTTTCAGAATATTTCTAGCTGTGACGGATGGACCCTCATTTTGTTTATTGTATTGGTGAGCTTGGAGTTGTAGTTGAGTAATATTTAATCTTATTTCATGTTTAGCAGCACCAGTTTTCAATCTCTCAACCAAAGGTGGGTCATAGGAGAATGGGCTTTGGAAGTAGGAGATGCTTGGTTGTTAGGGCAGCAGCTGCATCTCCATCTCCGGACTCAGCAGGTTCTACTTCTCCAATTGCCCCACTTCAGCTGGAGTCACCAATTGGACAGTTCCTCTC